GAGCTGGCAAATATTGACACTCACGCTTTGTCTCCCTAGCAATCAGAAACTGACTCAAACAAAAGCACTGAAAAGGTTCTGGCTATTGAACACAAGCAGCAGGCAGAAATGAGGTTGATCTGAGATGACAAAAAAGGAGAAAATCCAATTTAAGCACTACCTACAAGTTCTTCTAAAATCAATCAATTTAGAAGTTTTTTCAAAAATATTCTATACTTATGTATTAATTTATATAAAATATTAAGTATACTAAATAGATTATATTTATTTATATCAGAGGAAAAGGTTTCATTGCTACAAATTTGTTGGATTCAAGAAGGAAGCTAACTGAAATAATAAAAATAGGTTTGCATTTTTCTGTCATTGAAACAAGTGAAAAAAATGTCAAAAGACCAAGCAGACCAATCATTCCTCATGGTAAACGTAATGAACCCTGTCTTTAGAGAAGAGTTACTTCTCTTGAAAAACTACAGAGAAATCAAACTGAGCAGTAATCTGTTCAAAGAGATGACGTGACAATCAGGTTTATGGACTGCTTCTATAATTCTACATACATTACATTATAATTGTAGAGATACTTTAAAACAAAATTTTAACAGTACCATAACGAAGTATATTTCTTAAGCTGTGTGTGTAAAATACCTCCTTCTTTCAGGAGCTAAGAAGCTTTCTGCTCATGTCCATTTTCATCTCACTTTCTGCTTCCTAGACACCAACTTCTTTCTATTCTATATTGTGTAACAAATAGTTAAAACTTCCTAGGGTAACAGCTTTCCACTTCTATTTAGTCTGAAGATGCAGCTCCTATTTCAAGTCTGGAGTTATTCTCTTTTTCCCAGACATAAAACACACTTTCTGACAAATTGTGCCTCTTTTATTTGATCATTATTAAAATGACAACTCATCCACCCATCACTTTGTATATGTGAAATGCCTGTACATGTCAAATAGAAGATGACTGACATCTTGAATGAAACAACGTTTGTTGCTATAAACAACACCAAGCACCCTCGGAGACTTCAATGGATTTAATTAACAAACTACTTAAGATTTTTAAGCAAAGTTAAAAGATAAATTAAAACAACAAAAAGTCTCTCACACATTCTGTTCAGCATTTTCTTCCTTTGCTTTTTCTGCCTTTTGATCTTCCTGGGGACTATCTATATCTGAAATGGAGACCTGCTGCAATATAAAAAGACATCTGAATTTGTAGATTTTTATAGCCCCCTTCTGCTTCAATGAAGTATTACCTTATTAGCCTAAGATACTTTTGATTAACCAGACACTTGAAAATATTTGATGGAAAAATAATCAAAATTATGTGCTTATTGGAGGAAGTTATAGGTCAGAAATAATGAGATATCCCAATGATTCATCTGAGCATCTTTCTTTTAATCTCATTATTATGAGTTCTTATTTTAAAATTTGTATCCATATAGTATCCTGTAAACATATTGTCCTAATCTGGCAGCCCCTAGTTAAAGATCAAAGTGTTGTACTAACCCTATTATACACAAACTATCTGCAGACTAAGAAGTCAAAACAAAAGCAGAACTTCAGATTTGCCACAGATGAACTATAGTAAAATGCATTGTAGAATTTAAGACCTCAATATCATTGTTATTTCTAATCCCATTAAAAGTGAATCTCAAGTGCAACAGGCAAGTAAACTAATGGCAGTGGAATTCACATTTCAGCATAACATCCCTTGGCCAATTTTTTTTAAAAAAGGGTATTTATAACCAAAGATGATGCATGAAAAAACAAGGCTTATTTACAGAACCAGATACAGTTTTCAGATAGGAGCAAAATAAACATTTTTATATATTTAACTCTAAAACATGCAAACATGTGGTAGCCTTTACTTAATCACCCTGTGACAACTTCAGAGACAGCTTTTTTTTTCCTAAAGAAAATAAGCTTTCTAGTATAAAACACGCACATAAAATCTAGTATATAACATGCACTATGAACCAGAAGACCATTTTTTTTAATTTACATGCTTTTGTATGTATATGTGCATACATAATCCTATATATTTATATGCAGTGTTATACACTACATATATTTTATAGATTTAATGTAATTTTTATATATATGATTATATAATAGTCATATACACAGTTTTACAAACACTGAAATGGTTTTCAAAAGTGCTTACAGCAGATCTCACTTTACCACTATTCAACTACTTGTGACTTACTATTTATTTAAGCAAGGAAAAAAATTAATCAATTCTAAAAGTGTTAAGCCTTCAATTCCCAGGACATTTTCAAAAGACTATTCACAATCATTTGACATTTCTATACATGATGGCAACTTGCCTTTCTCCTTTGATGTTCTACAGGTTTGATCTTTACAGAGCTACTGGAACTCTTTGGAGTTTCATAAGGCTCCTCAAAGAGCTCTACAGAAAAAACACAATTACTCTAAATCAGAAAAATACATGACATATTGCACTTCATGTGGTTTCTGCAAACTGGTCACAGTATTCCACTTTTTCCCTAGCAAGGAGAAAGGGGCTGAGAGCCACTGAAAATTTTGTGTTATTACTATTGATGAAGCATGCACCTGAAGGAAAAAAGCTTATTTTCATGGTTGGAATATGATAAACTTAATCTATGCATACTCCACTCTTAAAATTTTCAAATCATATTTTACAGTTGCATGAATAATTTTGGAATGGAAGTAAGGAAGAGAATGAAATACCTTAATCAGTGTCCCATGTCTATAGCGAAAAAGTTAAATAAATTAAAAACTGACCAGAAATTCTTAAGAAAGCAATGGTACAAAATTAAGTTATGACATTAAATGGATACAATAATAATTTTAATAGAACGGTGAAAATGTATTTCCATTTTTAAAATTAAATAAACAGAGGGACATATAACCCTACTCAGGCAAAGCTCTGTTTTATACGTTGGACCGTGTTGAAAGGATGTATTGTAAAAACAAACCTCTTTCTGATGCCACATCTAACTCCTGAACAAATGGTCCCACTTCACTAAGATCTTCAGTCACATGAGGTACAGAATAATTCCCATGATTAATTTCCTTATCAACATTTTTTGAATTTGTAGACACTCTGGTAATTTGAATTAGAAAAGGTAATTAACAATAGAAATTATAAAAATATCTTAGTTTAAGTATGCTTTTTCTTTCAGATTGCTGGCTAGTACATAATTGTAGACTAACACTGCTGTGATGTTCGTGTAAGTTTGCTCCCTGAATTTCACTTAAAACAAGGTGAATTTTTTTTTTTTTTAATAGCTGTGATACTTTAGTGGCATTAATGGTGCAGTCTTTCAGATGGGCTGCTACCAGAAAAAAGGAACTGACACTTAAAACATACAAAAAAAATGGAAGACAAACTGCACCATGACTTCAAAATCGTCTGGATAAGATTACATATCTCTCTCCCACAGAAACTTGCTCTATTAAAAAAAAAAAAAATTACTGTCAGAGAAAACAGGTTTCAGAACACTAACACCAAAGATTTTTTGTTTCTTTAGTGGAGAAGATGAGGAGAAATGCCACAGAGGACTTCAGGCTAAGGAACCTCCATCTTCAGAACTGTATAACATACTAAGAAATAAAATATTTAGTGCCTTTTCCATCTATTTTTCTGACATGGACACATATGAACATAGGTAAATTACAGATCCAGGGAAAAATAAACATTGTGAACTCTCACCTGAACACAAAGAAAATGAAACTAAAGAGAGTGGAAGTTATTTGAATTCTTTGAAAAACAATGATAACAGTCATATTAGAAATCCAGATTCCAATTCCGTATCACTAAGTTTATAAACAACGATGTACAATTCAGTTCATATGCAGCAGCTACATGGCTTTCTACCTAGAGGCATGTCTGCAGATGGAAAATATTTAATCTGCTTCATGCAGCTGCAAAATATATGCACGAGTTTGACTTTGCACTCAGAATTAAACATGTATATAACATATTAAACAGTAGAGCTCTGCCTACGGACATGCTGCTTAGTTGAAGAATTATGACCAGATAGAGTTCTTAGGTTAAAAAAAAAAAAAAACAGTTTTACCCCAAACTGCTTTCATGAAGGTCATCATAGGCTTGAATACTCTGGTCACCAGGAGAAGGACTGTCCAGTATGGAAGAACCTTCATTCATACTACTTACATCTTCTGTCCTAGACCGGACTTCTGATAGAGCTGGAAATTCTTTTGGATATTGATTATCTGGACTCTATTAACAAAGTAATAACAATGATAATGAAAATTCACTAGCTGAAAAAAAAGACACCAAATACCTGAAAAAACCCTAACAATTTAATGTAGTATGTTTATCCTTAACTTCATATCCTTCTCTCTATCACAGAACTAAGAAATTCTGGATTTACAGTTGCCTGTGCAATCCGAGTTTTGCCCCTTTTTGCATTAAGTGAAGTAATGATCCTATGAATTATCCAAAGGAAACAAAGTAAGATCATTTGTCAGTGTTAATTGTCAAAGACACTGTGTGAAAATTAAATATACTCTTTACAAAGGTAAGATTTGGACTTCATCACGTGTAACACAAGACTCTAAAAATATCACTGAAGATGGTATGAAAGGTAGAAAGGCATACATAGTCATGTGGTTACATGCACACACACAATCTTGGCAGTAAGTTGTCACGTGGCAGTAAGGTGTGACTTGTCAGAAAACAGGAAATATAAACCAAAAATCAAGAAAAAATCGCTTTTGATCTGGGAGAAAAGTTTTCTCAAGGAACCCCCACAACCCTCTCCCCTCACAGCCTTTCATGTAGACTTGATTAAAGAGCCTGTATCAGTTTTCTTTAAATATAAAATAATGCAGTACTCATCAGGTTCTTCTGGCAAATCTTTTCTTTCTTACTAGCATACATTCTCAAAATCTGTGTAACAGTGCTAAATAGAAATTCAAAATTCACTTTTCACTGATCTTTAACTAGTTTAAATACTCCAGACAAATGAATCAAAATTCAGGTCTCCCAAGAGAAACTAGTTCTTCATTCTTTGTCTTGTTTTTAGATACTCTAAAACTAGGTTTCTTCAAAGATGATGTCAGTAACAAGAAAGAACTGCCAAACTTGTAGAAACTCAAACCGCGTGGTATCTAGACAAATAAATAAGATTTTAAACAGGATGTCTAAAACAGAACTATGAGACAAAAGATGTGCGCAATTTTCTTTACTGGTATAACCTACTCACACATTTCATTGACACTTAGCCCATCCTCTTTCTTACCTGAAATTTTATGGTCTTTTCTTGAGATCCATCTCTGTGTAACTGTTCTAATAGCCAGAAAGAAGTAAGGACAGCAGCTGCTGATGTTTTAACATGTATCATTGGGGTAAACTCTTCTAAGGAGTCTTGCTTATTGGAACCACAGAGAAGTCTTTTATCAGACCATCTGACCATCCACTCAAGCAATTTTGCAATATTGTTCAACGTACCCACCAATTTTATAGTTAGTTCTTCTCCTGGTAGAGTATCAACTGTATCAACAGTTTTGTAAATGTATTGAGAAGCTTCCTGACTTTGTAGGCTAGAGAAAAGATGGTTAGGAAAGGTCTGGCTTGCTGATCCAACAGTGACTCCCTGACTGTCACTCTGAGGTCTGTAAATTGACTTGTGTTTTAAACCAAACAGTCCTTCATTCAGTCCTTTCAATAGGTTACGCACAGCAGGTTCTGTTGTCTGTACAATGGCTGGATTTTCTAAAATGTTTTGGCTTTCATTACAGATGGGCCCTCTTTCTGGATCACAAGAAGCCAGTGTGACAGTATAGCAAGATCCTGCTCTGAACACTCTTTGGCTTCTAGTTTTGCCTTGCCGGCGTTTCAGTGTTGTATGAACATCAAAAAAGAGAGAGTTTAATTCATGGTCTTGAAGAAGTCCAGAAAAGCTAGTAAGAAATGGAATTCCAACATCACTGTACTTTACCAGGTCTCTCTCAAGAATGTAACTCAAAAAGAGTTCTAAAAAAATAACGTATTCATCATCATCACGTTCAAATTCCCATGCACCAACTATGGGCAAATGAGATTGATTATGCCTGTCTTTTCCACAGGCTTTGTCTTTATGCTTCGTTTTCCCGTTAACAGCTTTCACCGTGAGTGTGGTACTTTTCCTGACTGTTTCTCCTTGTCTCTGACATTCGTTACCCCTGTAAGACCACAGACACAGATACTGTTAATGCCAAAATCCATTTTAAGAAGAACTGTATTTAAAAAAATAGTTCCTTTTCTTCCTCTGTTGGTAAAAATAGGAAATGACCAACCACAACTTTACATTAATACAACGTTAAGGGGGCAAAGTAAAAAAAACCAAAACATAGCAGTTCAGCGGTATCATATATGAATTTGATCATAGGTGATAATAATGCTGATAATAATAAATAATAATTTACACTTCAATAACATATTGGTCACATAGTAACTGACATACATATAACATTGGCAGTTCTAAGACTTGATAGATTTGCAATTTTTCATTTGATAAATTACTGTGACAACTATTCTGTTTGCTGAAAAGATAACTTTAACAGTAAGAGACAAATTTTTAAACTTTAAATAGAGCTTTCTGCTGTTTTGTTATACCTTTGGAATGAAGGTGTTTGAGTCCTCATTTCTTCAGTAAATAAAGCATCAGAAAGTGTATCTGCTGTGTCAGTGTCACTATACATGTGAGGATTTCCAACATCAGTAAGTGTGCTTCTGCTTAGACTAGTGCCTAATGAGAATCTATCATAACAGTGTTCCTCATCATCTGCTGCTCCATCTTCTGCTGGCTCCCAAATATTAATTTCGATGGGGCCTATGTTCCTTATTACACGTCTTAAAGCCTTCAGTCTCACTTCTTCTGTACTCTGTATAACAACAGACATCATTTCTTCACTTTCAGGACCCACTGAAATAAAGAAAACAGATTTTACATATAAGCTTCCCAGTTTTCAATCATTCTCTCAAACTGAGACATGAATGAACTTTTAATTATTTATTATAACATAGCCACTTAGAAATACAGAGAGAAACTGTGACAAAGTGAAGGAACACCACCAACTCAGAAGTCATGGTATTCTGTAATGTTATAGACATACCAGAAAGAAAATACAGAATTTGCCCCCAAACACTCTCAGAATTGTCTAACTGAAAAACATAATAATTGTTTTACACAGGGTCTGAAAGAAGGTGTTGCCACAAGTTACTTAACAAGCAGGGAAAAAACGAAAATTTTTTTACTATTTCCTGAAGAAGGATGCATGTTACCTTTAATGATACTATGTCTGAGTCGCTGCTGAAGTCCATGATATTTATCTCTTAGTGGAACTCTTACGTCTTCAGGATTAGGAAATGCTTTTACAAAAATCTCTGCCACCTACATAAAAGAAAGTATTTTTTCAAGTAGCTAACATACCTGTAAGGTACAATTTCCAACAGAGCTTGCAGCACTAGAAAGTCTAACCAGTAGATTTTACAAGGAAAAAAACATTTGTGATAAACTCTAGCATCTTTTACCTTTTTCACTGGTGGCAACTCTCCAAGCAGACTCAAAATTATGTCTTGAACTAATTCTTCAACATTCATGAACCTGCAGAAAGGAAGCATTCGACAAGCCCACTCCACTGCATTCAGACAATGCTCAACTGTGGAGGCATCATGCCCTTTCTTCTTCAGATCCTAAAAAAGACACCTTGCTATAGAAACGTTAATTAATATGTACAATATATTTCAGCTAAATTATGTACACATTGCAAACAGCAATGATTCTTCCTTAGCCAACAGAAAAAAAAAAAAAATCAATTTCTAACTTAATTACCAGAGGAGTACATGATGCTAAAAGACAGCTTAGGAAATCATTCCACTAACACTTTGCTGAAGAGTTTTTTTTGCAGCCATATGAAGCAAACCTTGAGGAATTTACTGAAGTAGCTGTAACTGATTAAATATACTGAACTACTAGGTGAAGTAAATTCTACTGTGACTTAACGTGCTCATAAATTCCTTCTTGGGAGTAAGACGGCTTTTAAGATGCATCAGTTTATTCTGTAAGAGTTAGTGGTTTCTATCTTGTTTGTCAATGTCACGCAAAGCACAGACAAATCAGACTACTCTGTTACTTGAAACAGTGTCATCCTGTTTATCTGAAGCTTGATTTTTCTGGTGAAGAGCAATTTTGGACTTGTTTTAAAAAGTAAGCAACCTTTACTAAGGACAGTTGAGTTGTGAGACTAGTTGGGATGAAAATCAATGTCTGTACTGTTACCAAATACAACAATTATCATGCTAGTATCTTCTTTTTCTTCCTTGACCTCTGAAATCAATTGATCAGGGCATAATTAAAGAAAATATTATTAAATTTTAGTATTTTCCATAATTATTTTCAAAAATCATGTCTACTTAATGCACAAAAATCCCTTTTATTCGTGTGATAAATACACATGGGTCAGGAAACATGCAAAATACCTTAATCTGTTTTGTTTTTTAAAAAGCAGTAAATACATAGGTAGATGACACATATAGAAACTATTGCTCTTCTGGCAGTATCTTTTCATCTGTGTTAAATACTGCACAAAAAACCAACAGAAATACTATTAAAAAGATGTCGTTCACATGGATAGTACCATTCTGTAGCACCAAACACTTACTGTACATTATAGCACAGTGCTAATTTTGTCTAATTAAGCAAATAAAAATTCTCACAGAAATATGCAGACCTTTAGAATTCTTCTTATAGCTTTGCACCATTAAAATGTATCTTTACTATATTACTAATATAATTACCTCACAATTGTTAATATTTTCTCTTGCTGTTTGGTACCTCCTACAGTTGTCAGATAACCTTTCACGCACATGAAACATCCAACACAATGCACATAGCTCTCTGAACCAACCTACAACACAAACATGCAAGGTGGTGAGATCCTACTTAAATAAATGAAATAAAACATCTTGATGGCTTTTAGCTAGAGAAAGGAATTAATATCTCAACAGTAGTTAAAGAAAAAAAAATTATTCTTGAGTTTTCAGCAGTGCTCTGAGGCTCTTTAGTTTCACTTAGCATTCCTGTTCTTTCACATCTGTCAGATCTATTACACACACAGCAATCCAGAATGGCAACTTTCAGATTAACATTTTTAGTAACTAACACAAAAACTGGAAAGGGAACATGTTTCTGCACACATTGCGGTATGTGGATTTGTACCTGTGCTCTTTTATCCAGCTCTAAATCATTCTATTTTATTTCATACAAACCTAAAATTTTACAAGTAACATCATCAAACTGATGGTCCCCAGAAGATGTAGATCTGTGGAAAACAGTGCGGAAGCTGCAGTAACGGAGCAAAGTCTCTGGGAATGGACTCAGTGAAGGCAGAGACCCTTTCACACGAATCTACAGGTGGTAAAAACGAAGAAATAAACAATCAAAGCCAGTTAAAGTTTTGCCTCTATCACTACTAAATGTGCAGTCTCTCAGTTACTAGCAGAATACTGCCAACATCAGCAATTCCCTTAAGCTTGCTTTCCATTTTCTTCAAGTTGGTATTCTGCAAATTCATTTAATGAAGTATGTTTAGTATGAGTTATGGCAGAAAAACTGATTTTGTTTCCATAGTACTCATGATCACCATGAAATACCAAAGCAACCAAGTATAGGAAGAACTAGGAAAACAATTAAGAATACAACTAAACCAAACACAGTGCAGGCTGCTGTCACCCAAGGCAGACTAGTTTTCCCTCCTGTTTCAGTTGGTACTTCAATTGCCTCCCAGTGCCAGCATTAGAGCAAACAGAAGGAAGTATCTGTCAGCCAGACCAGTTCCTGATCTGGATCACTGCATGAATGCTGGTGCAGGGGAGTTGAGGGAAGGCAGACAGACACCCCCTACACACCCTTCTTCAGCAAATCAACCATCTTTAAGTGGCTGTGTAACAATGCCCTAAGAAACACCTGAGTTTACACACACAAAAATTTTAATCAATATATTCTGAGCTTGGTTCTATGCAAACAAAATGCACACGAGCAGGAGATCCTGTGGTCTGTGCACTAACATGACCACTTTACCTGAAGTGAGTGAGCAGCATGTTCTCTGTTACATATTCAACCCTAAATGATCTGTAACACACTTACAGTTAACAGCTATAACTCTCAAGCAAAATGAGTCTCTTTCTTCCAAATGGAAAAAGAAATTAGTTTGTATGTTACCAAGTGGGTATGGAAAGACACGTAGAAGGATACACTTTATGAAATAGATACTCTGCATCTTTTAAGTTCTGGTTTTCTAAAAGAACTGAACACGGAGTGTAAAACAGAAAGTGACATGTAAAAAACATGACATCCAAGTTCAGATGAGACTGAACACTTCTGCCATGCAACAGCAAGCTTATCAGTAATATTTACAATTGATAATCAACTTACAAAACCCCAAGTTGAACACTTACTTTTTGCATCACTTTTCTTGCCCACTTCAGCTGTGCAATATACCACTGTGCTGCAGGGCAGGAGCAACGAGCAGCCCGGAAGAGCAAGATAATTCGCTGGAGAACTCCTGACACCTTCTGACGACCTTCTCTCTCAATTTTTAAAAGAATGTCATTGCAGTCTTCCTGGAAAACGCAAATTTCAAGACAAAAAGAAGCCCCCAAATTGGAAAGGACGTATACAATAAGGAATCTGACCTAAATGTTGTTTCTGCTTCTAACAATATTTCCTGTCTTCTTTAGAGCATGGATCCTTTATGGAAAAACACAGAGGCATATATACTCTCTTATCACTTTGGTTATTTTTAAGTAAAAGAATGGACAGAAAAAAACAAGACAGAAACATAAGCTGAAAGAAACAAAAGATCATGATTATTTAATAAATTTACTCAAAGACCCAAAAACTTGTATCATGCAAGCTTACTTTGCTGAGAGCAGCTGGCTGAGGACAGTATAACGGTGGTGCTGGAAGATAAAGCCCATCTGGAATTAAGCCATACAATTTTCTGCTGAGATCCTTGGCAGAATCCATCAAAAGCTGAAATGTCTCTGAGAGGATATCAGCATTTGCCATAACAGCTGCTTTCAGTAGTTCCTGTATTGAATTATAAAGAACATCTGCATCTTCCTCTTCAATGGGATCTATAAAATATTAAATGCAGAATCCAATGAATTAATTGGCTCAATTAAAACATGGCCTTTATTCTGAAATAACGAGACTGCTTTCTCAGAATTTGCATTCATCTGTTGCAATGTATACCTCACATCTGCTTGCTTCAAGATATGGTCTCTCAAACTTGGAAACAGTATTGCATTATTAATTTTAGTTGTTGCCAGATTAAGTGGAAAACTATTGCCTTTCTAGATAGAGAAATGAGCTTTTCAGAAGTGTATTTGCTTTGCCTAAAATTCTGGCATATCATTGTCACCAAGCATGCATAAACTAGGTATATTGTAAATGATTATAAAAACTCTTCTATCAGTGCACATGATGATCAATGAAAGAGAAATGTATTTGTTTGGTCTCTTTTACATAGTAATAATTACATTTTTTCCTCTATCCTAGAAGTAGCAGGACCTACAATATATATCCTTAATTTGTTCCTGAAATGTACATAATATTATACTGCTGTACTTCCATTTCTACTCCTCCTGCTTGTCTTGAAATATATACTGCCAAAGCTTTCCAATTCCTATCACACTTACAGATTATTACATCCAGCATGCATATGTGTGTGTCTGAAATAAAATCCTTGGCAATGGCAGTAGAGTTAGAGCTAGAAGGTCTTTAACCTGTTAAAGGCTAAAGATAGGAGACAGGAGGCTCTCCTTCACAGTCAAGGAGAGCCATCAGCCCCGGTGTCCAGGTATGGAACCCAACAAGAAGAGCCAATGGGAGTGACTCTCTTCACAACCTTGTGGATTGCGAGGGGTTACTGTCAAGAAGGACAGGACATACTATGTGGGGCAAGAGCTTTTTAGGATTGCACAAGGCTCATTATGAGATCTTTAGGAAAGAAACCAAAGGTTTGGCATGGAGGTGCAGCAGCCTCAACTCCACTGGGCCCTGTCAAGCACATGTCTCTTTTCCCAGATGAGGGGCTCCCTGTTCTGTGTGTCTGGGTACAGGATGGTAAGTGCCAGCAACTGGAGCAGACCCACAGGTCAGAAAGCCTCTGTGTCTTGGGATACCTGCAACCGCAGAGACTGCGTTAAGTAAACCAAGTGTCAGCAGCAGAGGGACCGCGGGTCAGAGTCACGTACCCACAGGCCAGCAAGCAGAGCGAGTGCAGTACGTGAAGGTATGAGTGCTGCCAAGTGCCAAGTCAGACTAACTGACGAGCAAGCAAAGAGCCTGGGGAGCTAGGGGTATGCAAAGAGACCACAGGAGCTGGTATTGGCTGGAGAGACTGGTGAAGATCCCGTCAGCTGCTGGAGAGACAACTGGGAGGCCTACTTGTGTATCTGCATGTCTCTAAGGACAAAACACGGGGATTTTGACACTTGGGGGACCAAGGAAGTCATCACCAGTGACCACCTGCCAGAAAGACACTGTGTACACAGGTACATGTGTCTCTAAGGGTGAGGCACCTGGAAAGACTGAGGATCCCTGACTAGCTACTGGAGGCACTGTATATTCCAGGCCTGCTACTGTGGGCACGTGTAGAGAGGCGGGAAGAGGGTATCTGTGAGTGGGTCTGTCCCAGAAAATGGAGTGGGGCTGGGGCTTTGGCCTCACAGATGTGGACACCAGCCACTTGGGAGACACAGCTTCTGTGTGTAAGCCCAGTTACTGTACATATAGGTATGTCTATGCAGACATTCATCCTCACTAGTAAGAGAGGGAAGGTTTGTTTGCACTGTCTGTGTGAGTGTTGAGCATGGCTGCAGGTCCTGATATGTGTGGCCAGCTTTATGTAGCTGTTGTGTATGGTTGTTTGAGCCTCCTGGAAATATATTTTAAGTCTTTTTATCTGTTGGTCCTAGGGGCATGGAGCTGTCAGGCTACAAGATACCACCCCCACCCCTTTAACAGGAAGTAAAGGCAAAAATTAAACACCATCATGTAACCAGTTTTAAGTATGATGACGCTTCCCATAGTGTTAATACATTTGCATTTGCTTCAGGGCATTTCACTGTTGTTCCAATGAAGCTTCATGTTTTTTTCTAAAATGAAATATCAAATATAGTCAAATAAGGTCTTGGCTGATACACATGAAGAAGGCAAGATTGATACAGTCCTTTTTTAGAATGATCAATGCCAAATCACAAACCCCTATAAAATTAAAGTATTTAAATACATTATAATAGTAATGTACACATGGGAGAAGACAAGGTTCTCAGACAGTGTATAAAACAATGTGCAGTGAAACAGCATGAAAAATAAACACAATTATTTATAATAATTTTAAGTACCTGTAAACTGCTTGTATTTAATACATCCTGATGTTTCAGAAGTAGCTGGCTGTCCTAACAAAGACTGTAACTTTTCCTGAAACGTCTGCATTGGTGATAAGCTTAATGGCAGGGGAGGCTCTGGGGGATAAGCTTAATGGCAGGTGATGCTCTGGGTTTTTCAGTCTGAAAGCATAAGAAGAAATTATTCATAAATAATTAAGTAAACCCAAGAAACAATTCATAAATAATGAAGTAAAAATAATTTAATGAAGCTCTGTTAAATAAATATCTAAGACAAAATAACTAATCTTAATATATTAAGTCCTACACCTAACAGGAGTCTGGGAATATGAATTTTTGATGAATAGGCTATGCCTTGCTACAATAAACTTCAGGAAAATAACACGAATAACAAAATACAGTATACTCATTCCAAGCCCAAATTTACCTTGAGAATTCACTGGAGTTCTGACAATACAGCTGGTAAGCTATACCAATTGAAACAGACAGTTTCCAGTCCCCAAGTCTGTGTGTTAACCACACAGCCTCTGGAATGAGTCCACCAATGAAGAACAAATCAAGAGCATATTCAGCTGTCCACACAGATGAAAGGTTCTGATCCCTGACAGCTCTAGTAACCAAACAGTGTTGCAGTGGAATAATACGAGGAGGTAAGTCTACGATGAAAAAAATACATTTTGAATTTTAAATAAATCTGCATGCTAGCATATGAATAATCTAGAATTCACACATTCACATTAACTTTTGAATGAATTTCAGTATACAATTGCTGTTTATTAGAGGGCTGCTACAGGGTTTATCTGTAGGAGGCAGCTGCAGCTCATGCTGTGATACAACGCTGAGGATAGAGTTGGCTCTTCTGCTTAATAATGTGGTACCTGAAAGCATGTACAAAACTTGTAAGTTACTTTTACTTTGAAGGTTTAATCACACTGATAGAACATTTCCAAGTACCCTATACATGCTTAGGATATTTATGAGGGTACACCTAAATGGAAATTCTGACGGTTTTCCTAGCATACTCATGCTGCTTGTACATGCTGTGCTGCTTATGGCAGAAAGCACGAGGTTACAGTGTGTTCTTGAGAAAGAACAGTACATTATTTTGAAATAGTGTGTTGAGACAAACTGAAGACAAATCTATTATCTCCCTGTTTCTTGATTTTTGTATTTGTTTCCCAAGGTTTCACTTCTTGGTTTTCCTGGAGAGTTGCTGATCAACAGTAATTCGAAGTCGTCCACAGAATCATACAGTTGTTTATGGGAGTGTGTTACAAGCCACCCAATCATGACAGTGAGACAGATAAAATACTCTACAAGCAGTTGGGAGAAGTTCTGCATTCACTCCCTCTTGCTCTCATGGAGGGCTTCAACTTCCCAGATGTGTGCTGGGAATACAATAAAGCAGAGAGGGAAGAGTCACAGAGGTTCCTAGAGTGTGTGGAAGAACTTTCTGGTGCAGTTGGTGAAGGAGCCGACTACAGAAGGTGCCCTCTTAGACCTGCTGCTTGTGAACCAAGAAGGACTTGTAGGAGGTGTCACAGTTGGTGGCTGTCTTGGGCTTAGTGATCATAAAAATAACACACTTTAGCAAGGAGTGGGTCTAGGAGAACTGCCTCCTTGGACTCACACAGGGTGGACTTCGGCCTCTTTAAGAGGTTGGCATTGGTTGGCAATGTCTCTTGGGAGACCACCCTGAAAGGCAAAGGGGTCCAAGAAGGCTGGATAGACTTCAAGAGGGAAATCTTAGAGGCACAGGAACAGGCCATCCCCATGTCCCAAAAGGGGGGCAGGCAGGGAAGAAGACTGGCCTGGAAGAATAGAGAGCTTTAGCTGGAAGTTAGGAACAAAAGGAGAGTCTATAGCCTTTGGAAAAGGGGGCAGACCACTTGGGAGGGTTATCAGGATGTGGTGAGGATACACAGGAAGAAAATGAGAAGGGCCAAAGCCCAGCTAGGGCTCAATCTGGCCATTGCTGTAAAGGACAACAAAAAAGGGTTCTATAAGTACATTGACAATCAAAGGAGGATTAGGGAGAACCTTCAGGAAGGCTAAGGAGACTCTCCATCCTTTATTAGATGTGGGGGGAAACAGCGTGACAAAAGCTGGGAATAAGGCTGAGGTACTGAATGCCTTCTTTGCCTCAGTCTTTTACAGCAAGGCCAGTGGTTCTCCAAGTGGCTGGCACAGCTGTGCAAAACAGGGATGGGGAGCAGAATTAAGCCCCCATAATAAAGGAGAAGTGGTCAGTGACCTACTGCACACAAGTCTAAGGGATCAGATGGGATTCACCCAAGGGTACCAAGGGAGCTGCAGAAGTGCTCACCAAAACACTTTTCAACCCGTTATCAGTAGTCCGGTGAACTGGGGATATCCCAGTGGACTGGAGGCTAGCAAATGTGACACCCATCTACAAAGGCTGGAAGGAGGATCCAGGGAACTACACACCTGTCACTCTGACCTTGGTGTCTAGTTGAGAGCATGAGTCCTATGAGGAGCAGCTGAGGGAACAGGGGTTGTTTAGCCTGAAGAAAAGGTGGCTCAGGGGAGACTTTGTCACTCTCTAAATACCTGAAAGCAGGCCGGAGCAAGGTGAGGGTCAGTTTGTTCTCCCAACTAACAAGCAATGCTAGAATGAGAGGAAGTGGCCTCAAATTGCACCAGAAAAGGTTTAGATTGGATATTAGGAAAAATTTCATCACTGAAAGAGTTGTAAAACCCTGGAACAGGCTGCCCAGGAGTTAACAGCTGGACATGATGATCTTAAGATCTTTTCCAACCCAAGTGACTCTATGATTCTATTTTATGTATAACTTAATTCAATTGCACACTATTAACTTGAAACACCAAAATCATTTCCAATAATCAAGAGAAACAAAACATTAATCCTGCACACAGACACGCGCTACTCTGCAAAAAAGCTGAAAGAAATAAGGTATTTTATCTTTACAGTTAATGGTGCTGAAACTATAAATCACCAAGTTAAGACATACCAGACAGCATTTATACACATGTAAGGAGTTCAGCACAGCAAATTAAACTCATTTTAGAGAAAATACCTTGTTTGATGTGAAGCGGATGCAGGATGTCAACATTGTGTGGGGGAAAGACATAGAGCAGCTGATTTGTGAAATAGGCAGCCATGAATCGTGCCATGGATCGAACCACAGCCATAGCAGTTTCAGTGTGAATATCTGTCACCATCCATAGTTCATGATGAAAATACTTGGTATCTAAAAAATACACATGTCAAATGAAAACGTTATGAAGAAAACAACTGCAAACTTGAATGCTAAAATTGTTTAATCACAGCTTGTAAGACTTTTTCTTTTTAAACAAGCCAACCATGGTATTACTTATGTTCTTGACAAGCTTTCATATCTCACAGAGATTAACCTTTCACAGTAATTACACATTATATTAAAAAGTTTTTATACCAGGTCTTTAATGACTAGAGATGGATCCCTAGAGTCTAAATTTAGATTACTGATGAGTCAAAAAAAAAAGTTTAAATTCAGAAATTTAGATGTCATACTCAATTTCATAGGGGAAAAAAAAGTTACAAGCATCTCCAAAAAAATCCCACTGTAAATTTAGTACTGGTGACCAGTCTAGGACTGGGGACACTAATTTATCACGTTGTATCATGTAAAAATGTTAAATCAGTATAAAATGAAATCACATAATTTCCCCTGTATTTTTCTTATCCAAAGTCTTTCCTTGAGCAGATATGAATCTAAGAACAATTAACAGGTCACACTTTCACTATTAGTCATACAATTAAAGTTGTCTAACACTTAATCCAACAAAGTGCAACTGAAAGAACATCTGAGGATCAAAAAATATCTTTCAAGTCACTGAAAACAGATTTCAGTCCAGTGTAAAGAGAAAAGGACAAAGCGTGTGTAATTGTACAGGAGTTAGAGACTGCATTATTCACACGGTATCAACACACCTTATGACACTTATATGCAACATAAACATACCAGAAAATTTTTCCATCTGACTCACTGAGAGCTGTGATCTCCTTAGAATTTCTCCTACCAGATGATCACAGAGTCCCTGAGCCTCACGCAAGTTATATTGATAGAGGTGGCAAAATAATATCGCAAGATAGTATCTACTCTGAAGATAAGATGCTCTCTTTCCTCCTAAATTAAAAGAGAAAAAAAGGCAGAAGTGCAATTAGAAAAGAAGCAATAAACACAGAGCCAGATACAGAAGGTTTGAAAGTACTATTTGCTCCCTCTCCACAAACATACCTATGAAAACATGTACTCTGAAGAGGAGCAGAACTCAGGAGCAGTTACATTACAAGGTATGATCCCCCTACAACCTCTAAGTTACATGTGAGTTAATGTTTATCCACAACAGTTCTACTTCTAGAGATCTGGCAGTTTTCAAAACAATACAGTGTATAATTGTTAAGAAACAAAGACAGGAGAGCTCAAGGGAGCTTAACCTTCAAAGAAGGGATGCCTAAACCATAACTAAATTGCTTAGACATCCTCCATGCTTACAATATCGTGAATGCCTTCTGCATGAGCTATTCCTCATCATAAAAACCAGCAATTTTTTTTTTCTCATGCTACCTGGGAAGAAACTCTGGAATATTTGTTTCAAATTAACTCCTAAATAAACTCCTGCCACATATTATTTTGTTTCTCCACAAACGGTAAGTCTTTTGACGTTACTGCTACTACAGGAATTTCTGTTATTCTGTTTTTGATTGCCTCTTTCTTGCTCAGAGTTTTTTCGTACCAAGTACTTCATAATGACAAGAAAACTCTTGATATCAAAATATAAATGCATGCAGTTTTCTCAGGAAGCAATCAGACTTAGCATTTTGACTGGTCTCTACTGAAATACCAGCTTAATTTCAAATATGCATCCTTCACGTGTCTTGCCCCCTTTTTTAAAGGACAGAGTCACAAAGATTATACAGCTTACCCACTCCACCCTTAAAAATTACTTTACCCCTTACCTTTTGCCTTGACTTCACAAAGAGACCTTTTCCAAATGTCCACAGATTCTCTGTATGAACCTAAAAGGAACTTCTCCTCACCTATAAAGGTCACATATGTAACAAATTAAAAGGGAATGTGTAGGAAATTAGGCTACAACCATATACTATTTGCAAAATAAGCATGCTACCTTAAATCTATTGCATGAGGTTACACTCAACTAGAAACTTGGTTCAGGCTGACTACAGTCATGTACATGGCATGCTCATGCCCAGAGTGATCACAAGGGTTGGACAGGCTTTCTACACAGAAATCCAGTAAGAGAGACACGGTGACACTGAGAAATAACACACTACAAACGAGATCAGAATTCAGATACTGCATTCATATTCTCTAGGACATGACTGAAAGCTAACTGAAGTCAATATAGAGTTTTATTTAGCCCAAACTCTAAAGATTATAGTGCAATCTAGCAGTGTACTGGGACAAGGAGTACTTCAGAGAGAGTTCTGATCAGAATTTTAAGACAAGTCTTGCTATGAACTTCTTAAAAATGTGATGGCCATTTACTGAATGTCATTATGATGGACCTAATCTTCCTAGTATTGTTAAATGTTGTGAAGGACCGAGCCACGAATTTGGAGCCCATTTGAAAACGCTACAGTTGCCCTGAAGGGTCACTTTTGGGTTTGTAGACATTACGCATATAAATTGATACCAGCAAATTGGCCAGGAGTATACTTCGTTGGGGTGATCCGCCCCTTCTTCTTTTTACTTCAAGATTATTTAATTAGGAAAAGGCGGTCCACCGACACCTCTATTACTAGTGGGAGTGGTCACTCTTGGGGCAAGGACGAATGGACGCCTTAATGTATCATACAACATTATGGACCTGCAACATGGAACTCTAACGAACTAGATAATGGTGCTCGAGAACCCTTTTATTACCTAAATTGAACCATTCACCTGCAAGCTGTATTAGAGATTATTACT